GTAGAATGAATGTAAAACTAAAGTTCTCCCATGTAAAATATCATATAATTCACAATAAAACATGAAAAAAAAAATATATATATATAGGAACAAGTTAAAATGGCCTTTTAAAACCATTGTTATTCAGTATTGTTCTGCTAGTTCTGGCCAGTTAAACAATATTATGCAAAGAGGTGGGGTCCTGGTGTGGGTCTGAGAGATAATGCACTGGACTGCAAAGTCTGATTGAACCACAGGGTCGGCAGTTCTCTCACCAGCTACTCCTCGGAAACGCTATATCTACATGGTCGCTATGGGTTGGAACCGACTCGATGGCACTTAACAACAACAACAACATACAACAAGGTGGAGCCCTGGTATGGTGCTGTGGGACCCAGGCTGCACGGTCAGTTTGAACCACAAGATCGGCATTTCAAACTCACCAGCCGCTATAAGGGTCACTATGAGTCAGAACCAACTGGACAGCACTTAACACACACAAACATACCAAGAAGTAATATGAAAAATACTGTGAAAAAAAAATCCCACAATTGTTATTATTTGCAGATAATATTGATGTTTACCTAGAAAACTCAAAAGAATTCAATGAAAATCATACTAGAATTAATTTTAAAAGCTCAATAGCATGGCTGGATACAATACCAATATTTGTAAATTAATGCTAGTAATGTTGTTGTTGTTAAGTGCCTTCGAGTCGGTTCCAACCCATAGTGACCCTGTACAGGGTTTCCGAGGCTATAAATCTTTACGGGAGCAGAAAGCTTCATCTTTCTCCTGCGGAACTGCTGGTAGTTTCGAACTGCTGGCCTTAAGGTTCGCAGCCTGATTCGTAACCACTACGCTACCAGAGCTCCTTAATGCTAGTAATAAGTACTTAGAAATGATAATGAAAAACAATTCCATTCACAATACAAATAGATAAAGTAAATTAACCATAAAGAGTTCAAAGCTAAAAGACCTGAAAGAAATTGCAAGAGATAAGGCAATTTCTTCCTCGATTTAATGCAGTTTCAATCAAAATCCCAATGAATAAGTAAGTTGTGAAATTGCAAAAAAAAAAAAAAAACACCAAAATTTTAAGAGAAAAGCAAAGCAAAAATAAGTTTTGAAGAAGAAAGAGTGGGAATTTGCCCTATCAAATATGAATTAAAGAAGGAATAGTCAGTTTATTAAAAGAAATAGAAGTTGTCAGTTTCATTCTACTAAGTTAACAGTTGGTTTAGTCCTGGTGTGGCGCTGTGGGTTAAAGAGCTGGACTGCAAAGTCGGTTTTATTTGCAAGGTCGGGGTTCAAGCTCATCAGCTGCTCCTTGGAAACCCTATACAAGGTAGAAATTTCATGAGTAGAAATTGACTTGATAGCACTTTACAACAAGTCAACAGTTAACGTCCATGGAAGCAACAGTCAAGAAACCAAACAACATATTGCATTGTGCAAATCTGCTGTAAAAGTCCTAGTGAGGTGCTGAGGGATAATGTGCTGGACTGCAAGGTCAGTGGTTCAAGCTCACCACTGCTCCTTGGAAATTCTATACAAGGCCACTATGAGTCAGACTAGACTCGACAGCACTTAACAACAACAAAGGTTTTATAAAGCAAAGATATCACTTTGATGACATAGGAGCATTGGACCCAAGCCAAGGTCTTTTTAGGCATCGCATATACATGAAAAAGGAAGACAGAAGAATTGATGTGTTCCACCTACGTGGTGCTGAGGAAGAATACAATCAGAACATTGCTTCAGAAACAAGAAAAAGGAGAGTTCGACTCACAGTTTCAGACACATCATCAGAAAAGAACAAATGCTAGAAAAGGACATCATGCTTCGTAAAGTAGGGGAAAAACCCCAACACTAACCAGCTGCCGTGGAGTTGTGGACCCCATATAGGCTTTTCATGGCTGTGACTTTTTGGAAGTAGAGTACTAGTCATTTACCTCTGAGTGGGTTCAAAGAGACCTTTCGGTTAGGTGCCACCCAGAAATCCCTCAGTAAAGTAGAAAGCCAATGAAAATGAGGGAAATGCTGAATGAAGCACCAATGAACTCACACATACCATTAAGGTCACCATAAACTAGAACTGACAATGGAAAATACCAGATAATAAGAACAGAACAGATCTAGAAATACACCCATGATCACATGAGCACTTAGTACATTTTTTTAAAAATGGGGGGGGTGGGGTGGGGACAGCATTGAGCCTAGTGGTTTAGCCAACAGATAATGTTAAGAGAACTGGCTTTCCATTTGGTGAGAGAAAAAGGTAAGATTCCAATCTTATACCATGCTCAAAAATAAATCTCATATGAATTAATGATTCAATTATCAAAATGAAGCTGTACAATAATCAGAAGAAAATGTCTTTAGCATTGGCATGGGGAAAATCTTTCCTAAAATGTATCAGAGCAGGGCCTTAATCTCTGAATGAAGCATTATCTGAACAGGCTTCAAAAGCCAGAGACCATAAAGGAAGATTGACAGATTTGATTACATTAAACTTAAAACACACGATAACATATATTAAGTGAAATGACAAAGGTCAACACGAACAGTTGTACTACAATATGTTCTTAACAAATTAAAGAGACTAATTCCTTAAAAAAGAGAATAAAAGAAAATAAGTTGTTGTTAAATGCCATAGTAACTGTTCTAACTCATAGCAACAATGTATACAGTTTCCAAGGAGGGCTGGTGGGTTTGAACCACCAACCTTGTGTTTAGTAGTCCAATGCTTATCCTACAGTGCCACATCAGGACTCTAAGAACTAAATGGGCAACTAATTTACAAATGAAAAAACACAAAATGACCAATAAACACATGAAAAGCGACTAAATCTTCGAAGCTCTGGTGACATTAATCACAGGTCAGCAGCTCAAATAAAAACCAGCTGCTCCACAGGAGAAAGATTATGCTTTTATGCTCTGGTAAAGATTTACAGTCTTAGAAATCTTAAACAAGGTCACTAGGACTCAGAACCAACACTACTACTCAACCTTATCAACAAATAAAGAAATGCAAATTAAACAGTAATCGCCCATCTTCTCAAGAGGCGAGGAAGTCATACAGGAAACAAACCATGATCAGCTCAGCAGGTATCTTGTTGTTGGTAAGTGGTACTGGATCAGTTCCAACTCATAGCAACCCTGTATAGGGTTTCCAAGGAGCAGCTGGTGGGTTTGAGCTGCCTGCCTTGTGGTTCAAACCAACTTTGCGGTTCAGTACAGTAGTTCTGACTATGTCCGGGATGGACAGAGAATACAATGTCTTTGCAAGAGGACCTCAAAGAACTGGTACACATATAAATTTTATACCAGTAATACATTCCTGTGAGACAAAGCTGGCATAGCTATGCTTCCATTTGGGTTAAAAGGCAAGGAAATAAGACCTTCTAAGTCCTGGTGGGGGCGCTGTAGGATCAGCACTTGACCTCAAGATCGATTTGAACCCCAAAGTGTTCAAACTCACCAGCCATTTCCTGGAAACTTATACAGGGTCACTATGGGTTGGAATCAACTCAATGGCACTTAACAATTTTTGTTGCATAACATATCTACATATTTCTACCTGCTTATGCATTCAAAGAAACTCTGGAAAGAAATATTCAACTCTCACCACTAACAACAGTTACCAGTGGATATGGGCAGACAGAGTGGTAGGAATTACATGGCAGGGTGGGATGAAGATTTTGCTCTATATTTTTCTAGATTTTGTTTGCAATTTTTTGAGCCAAAAATGTATTATCTATTAAAAGACTGATTTAAATTTTTCTGCTGCTTTTAAAAAAGTAATCACATCTGAGTTTTATTTACATTATTTTTTTGATTTTTTTTCATGTGGACATTCCCACAGAGCACAACCAGGTTTTACAGTTCTGAGTTTTCAGATAGAAACTATCTGCCTTCCATCCTAAAATCCAGCCGTGGGAAAATCCTACCGTAAGAATTCCTTAAAGGGCAATTTGGTGACAAGCATCAAAAGGCACAATTTTCATTTTATAGCAATGACACTTCTAAAAAGGTTAACCTAAAGAAATTACTGAATAAGGGTTAGATGATCACTGCAGCATTCCTTATAATAGAGGGGAATCAAAAATTAATAGTATTCACCAAGGTGGGGAATGATAGTGAATTACAGTCATCTCTACAAATGCTGGAGTCGTGATGTGGCGCTGTGGACTGCAAAGTCAGTTTGAAACAAAAGGTCAGCGGTTCAAGATCCTCACCAGCTGCTTCTCAGAAACCTTATACAGAGTTGCTGTAAGTCATAACCAACTAGACAGCACTTAACAACAACTACAGATGCTGGGGTCTACAGATCATACTTCAAGTTAAGGCCCTGTTGTTGTCAACTCACAGTGACCCTATAGGAAGGACAGAGTAGAACAGCCCCGTAGGGTTTCCTACGGGGGTGGTATCTTGGTGTGGCACGGTAGGATAAGCACTGGACCCACAAAGTTGGCTTGAAATGAAAGACTGGCTGTTCAAACTCACCAGCCGCTCCTCACAAACCCTATACAGGGTTGCTATGAGTCGCAACCGACTCCTCGGCACTTAACAACAACCATTTTTACGGGAGCAAATCACCAAGCTTTTGTTCTCTAGGAGTCGCTGGAGGGTTCTGTTGACTTTTAGCATTAAGCACAGACTTAACCATTAAGCACAGAGGATCCATCAAGGACTTGGAAGCTCCTTAACCAGAGCTTTGTGGAGCTTGCCTTTGGATCTCTTCTCTACCCCCTCCACCACCACCACCACCACCCCACCCCCAGGAGCTGGCTCACCTAGTCAGCTCAGGGACATGGTGCCTGGAGTTAGAGCAGAAGATGTTGTTGGACTTGCGCATGCGCTCCAGGAACTCATTCACCGTTTGTCTGTGGAAATCGGCCAGGGGTCGAGCCTCGTGCTTAACATACCACTGGTGCGCCTCAAAGCACTTGGAGCAGAGGAACTGCTCACACTCGAAGCACCAGAAGTCCGCTGATTCTCTGCAGCGGGTACAAGTTGCACAAGCATCCTTAATCTGCCTGTATAGTGACAGATGCCGCTGCAGACTTTCAAAGAAGATGTTATCCAACGCTGGTATGTTAGCATCACCGGACCTAGGGACCTGGCAGATGGGGCATTCCATGCCTGATGTCTCCAGGCATCCCGAACACAGTGTGTGCAGACAAGACAGGAGCTTGGGGCATTTGGCTTCAACCTTGCATCTCTGGCAACACAGGAACTGGAATTCCTCCTTCATGGTTTGCTGAGGGACCAGAGAGGGGCATGAAGTCTAGAGACGTTCCAGGAGCCCTCACCCACCAGCCAACCCACGCCTATGAACTGGAGGCTCCCGCCATCCAGGGCTCCTAGGACTTCATATTTCATTCCACCTGGTCAGTCACTGGATGATGCAAAACCCAGTGCCCCATTTCCTCAGGCTATTGTACCTGCTACTATACCACAATGCCTAAGCCATCTACTTTCCATCATACACATCCAAGAAAGTATAGGACATATTCCTACCTCCAAGGAAATCAATTTAGAAGGTAGTGCTTTAGGACAAGCACTCGACCACAAAGTTGGTTTAATCCACAAACTCACCAAGCTTCCACAAAAACTCTATATAGGGTCACTGAGTTGGACCTGACTCAAAGGAACTTAACAACAGCAATGTTGTTGTTGTTAAGTGCCATGGAGTCGGTTCCGACCCATAGTGACCCTGAACAGGGTTTCCGAGCCTGTAAATCTTTATGGGAGCAGAAAGCCTCATCTTTCTCCCACAGAGCAACCGGTAGCTTCGAACTGCTGACCTTGCGGTTTGCAGCCCGATTGGTAACCACTACGCTACAAGAGCAACAGCAATAACAGTACCTAAATGCAAAGCTCATATACAGTTACAAAGTGCTAACAGTACCTAGTATTGTTCAGAATATTAGTCTTTGTGATACTAGTAATACAAGTATTGCAATAAGATGTCATTTGTGATTTCATGAAGAGGAGGAGCAAATAACCTGGAAAAGCACAGAGCTTGGGACCTCACATAGATCTTGTATGTATGTGGTGGTGGTGGTGGTGGTGGTGGTGAGACATGCAGTGGTGTTGCCCAGGCACAGGCCAAGGCAAACATTTGTGGAGGAGTGCCTACCAAAGCTGGGGCAGGGAGGGTGTTCAACGCAAGGATCTAGAAGGCTTCTTGGAGAGACAACTTAAGCTGTAAAGCCTTGCCGAGATACTTCCGTCTGGGTCTATTTACAGCCTTGGATTTTGAAAACTGAGTTTTGTTTTTCAACACCTGGGATATATGCCCTCTGACTCCAGACACTAGTGCTGACAGACTACTCTCTGCACGCTCCGAATCTGCGGTCCTTAAACTGAGTGGGAGCAAGATGCAAGGAGGAGGGGTGAGCTGGAGAGCCTTACGATCCTCAGCATTTGTCCCAGATGCGCAATGGAGAAAATGAAGCTCGCAAAGGTCCCTACCCCAGCCAAAAGGTCAGACCTCCTGGAGTCTGATCTTCAAGGTACTTGCCTAGGTTCCCCATTACACCCTCCTCCACCCCAACCTTAACCCTGACCAGAGCAAACCAACAAAGTACAAACTCCATATTCCCCAAACCTAATAGTACCTCCGTGGGGCTGGGACTGGACTGGTGGCCTTCGGACGGTGGCTCCGGGGGAGGCATGGTGAGCCTGTCAAGCAATGCAGGGCCCTGTTGAGGCCCCGAAGATCGAGCGGTTTCGGATTCCTGCTGCATGGACTTCAGCTCAGTTTCGATTTTCGGTTGTGATCTAATCGGGCGGGAAGAATAACTGAGCGGAAGGCGTGCGCTACTGGCTGAGTCCCCGGAGCTGTCCAAAGGGGAAGCGCCTGCTCAAGGCCCGCCTCCGGAAAGGAAGTGAAATGGGCTGGGGGTGTTTCTAGGGGCGGAGAAGTAGACGACAAATTTTGAAGAGATGCCCAGATCTAGGAAGAGGGAGGAGAGCAGCCGGCTAGCGGTTTCCATGGCGTAAAGGAATGGAGCCGGGCAGCCTCCATCCTGGACTCTGATTCGTTCATTCTGCTCACGCTGGCACAATTTTGTATGATTCTCCAGCTGGAATCCAATGCCTCCGTCCGTCCGTTTAAATGCAACTTTTTTTTTTCCTTTTAAATATTTATTTTACTTTTGGTGGAAACGTACCCAACAAAACATATCACCCATTCGACAATTTTTACATGTGCATACAATTCAGTGACGTTGTTTATGTTCTTCTGTCTGCGTAAATATTCTCCGTTTCAGCCCAGATTATTTCACCTCCAATTCATTTAGACTTGCTGCCCCCTAAACGTCTCATCTGAGCTTCAGAATTACTTTGGTCAGTTTGGTCTCACATAAATAGTTCTTTAAAAGGGCACAATGCTCAAGGCAAACACTCTACTAATTGATCTTAACTGATTTATAGATGACTTCAGGGGATAATTTTACCTTCAAGATTTAAATATTTTCTTATGGCTATAGAGTTGGTGTGATGCTGCCGGATAAGCACTGGACCTTAAGATCGGTTTGAACTGTAAGGTCTGTGGTTCAAACTCACCAGCCATTCCTCAGAAACTATTTCAGGATTGTTATGAGTCGGAACCCATTTGACGGCACTTAACAACACACAGATCTGTGTTGGAGAAGTGCAGCCAGCGTGCTTCTTGGAGGCCAGGATGGCCAAACTTCTCTCCTACTTCAGACATATTGTTAAGAGGGACCAGTCGCTGGCGAAGGATATCATGTTTGGTAAGGTCAGAGAAAAAGAGGAAGACCCCCAGTGAGATGGATTGGCAAAGTCGCAGCATCAAAGGTCTCAAGCATGGCAACCATTATGAGGTTGGCCCAGGACCGGGCAGTGTTTTGTTCTTTTGTGCATAGGGTCGCTATGAGTCGGTACCAACTTGATAGCACTGAACAACATAAGAGCTATGGGTTTCTCTAGTTTCATTGGGTCCAGTAAGTAAAATTTCATAAAAATCTGAAATTCTGTTTCACGTATTTCCCTTTTTGATCAAGATCCATCTATTGAGTCCTTGACCAAAACGTTCAGCAATGGTAACCAGGTACCCTCCAGTTCTCCTGGTCTTATGGTTCGTGGCGACAGATCAGCAGCCCAATTCTTTCTCATGGATCTTCCTTCTTCTGCTGCTGCTGTAGTCCAGTAGAGACCCATTGTGTTTTGGATGGCTGCTAGTAAGCGTTTAAGATCAAAGGCACTACTCAAAATATTTAAGAGTAGAACAGAAACTTTAAAAACAATATTAAGCCAACTGATTGGACTGGGTCATGAATTGATGAGCCTAAACCTTTGAACCAAGAAAACCAGTCTCGTGAAGTGTTTGGTTGTACCGAATATAATTAAATATAAAAAACTTTAAAACCCTTCCAAAAACTTATGATAAAGAAAGTTTAGATAATTAGTTAAGGCATAACTAGCCTATAGAATGCAGACATGCAAATATAATAAACCAATCCAAACTAAAACTCCACTTTAAGATAGCCCACCTCCTGCCATTTAAAAGAACAACCAATCATTCTAAATTTCCCTTTTGGGAAAATGTGTATGTTCTATAAATTGATCAAAACTGTAATGTGACGAACTTCCCTGCCCAATAAAATCTTTAACTCTGATTGACTTATTGATCAGATTTGCATTTTGTCAGGGCACAGAGAAGAGCTTCGTGTTTTTGAAGAACCCCAGATTTATCCCAAGAGCAGGTTTGAAAACAGTTTTGCTCAGTGTTGGGAAAGGCTGGAAACACGATCCCTCAACTGGGTCTTGAAGGAACAGAGAGAATTTGCCAGGGATTTAGGAATTGAGGAAGAAGCCCTAGTGACACAATGGTTAAAATGCTCAATTGCTAACTGAAGGGTCAGTGGTTTGAACTCAGCAGCCATTCCATGGGAAAAAGATGAGGCAGTTTGCTTCCATAAAGATTTATAGTCTTGGAAACTCTGAGACAGGTCTACTCTATTCTTTGGGGTCTCTATGAGTTGGAATAGACTCGATGGCAGCGAATTCTGATTTTGGTTTTGGCTTAGGGGTCGGGAGGACACAGGGGCAGATTACCCAATAAGCAAGATAAGCATGGGCTTATTTGTGCTTAGTTACTGATTTGTAATGAACAATTTCACATAGGTTTTACCACACCAGAGAGCACGTAAAACTGTTCATTACATATTAGTAAATGAGCACAAGTCAGCCCATGCTTACTTTGCTTACTGAGTACTCTGTCCTTGTCAGGATTTGTACATTTTATAAAAGGCTTTGGTTCTGTCGCCAGGGGTTGTGGGGTTGTGAGAGAAGCAGATGCCAGCTAAATCTTGAAGCAGAATCTTTGATGTGGTGAAACTCATGGGCAATTGTTCGCTACACATTAGTAAACACAAGCAAGTCTGTGTTTACCTTGCTTATTGGTAATTCTGAGTTTGGCTGCTAACTACAAGGTCAGCAATTCAAATCCATCAGTCGCTCTGTGGGGGAAAGATGAGACTTTCTGCTCCCATTTACATTTACAGCCTCGAAAACCCTATACAGAGTCAATACCGACTCCATGGCACACCACCACCACCACTGAGTAATCAATCTGGCACCGGGAGAACACTTTAAGCAGAGACAATAGCCCATGCAAGGGCATGGAGGTGTGGAACAGGCGAGTCGTTTGAGAAATAAGTCTTGTCATTTTCACATTTAATAAGGGATCTGTGAGAAGTGAGGCTGGAGGAGCGTGTGGGACAAGATCATAGTTAAGGTGATGGAACTAATTCTGTGGGAATCGGTGAAGGATTTAGAACTGAGGACTATGACAGTCGGCTGTGTATGTTTCACTCTGACATCCTAGTAGCAGGTAGCCTGGTCTAGGACAGTGTCTGTGGAATGCACTGGGAGAGAGGGCACAGACTGAGGTGAGGGGGACAGGATGATGCTGTGGGTGAGTGTTGGGAAGACTGAAGTGAGGGCTGGTGGTGGTAGGTGGCATGGATAGGGTGAGGAGAAAGCACGATATGTCCTGGCCAGAGGAGAGAGAGGCATGCCAGACACTTAGCTGATGAGAGAAGGAAGAACACAACTCCAGCGGGCCTTGCTGGACCAGTGCCCAGGAGTTCAACTTTCAAACCATCCCAATCAAGTGTACTCATTTCTGTGCTCAGTTCCAACTCAGAACAGACTCCAAAGGATGACGACAGGACTTTGCTCTAATGAAGCTTATAGTCGTCTGAGGGTGTGTGGTGGGGGGCACAGAAGAGGGGCTGATGAAAAGAGACCCAGGCTACCCTCAGAAGTCTTCCCTACCCTCCAGCCTGGTCACTATGCCCAAAGTACCTACAATCAGGTTATCCTCTAGACACCAAACTAGGAAAAGCTAACGATGGTGGGCAGTCATCTGCAAAAGGGTTCTGGAAGCAGACTGAGGGGTTGAGGCACCAGGAGAGGGAAGACAGTCATGTGGCCATGAAAAGAAAAATGTTAATTTCTTTGCTCCCTTTGGAGGACAGCCCACAGGACCCTGTTGAGAATTAAGACTTCTCAGAGTAAAGTCATCATTTGCATTTGGTTGTTCTCAAGCCATGGAAAAATAAGGTTCCTCTGGATATCTGGATCAAGATTGTGGTGGTTTTGGATCTGCAAGACCGGGGATCTCACGTCTGTGAGTCCTTGGATAGCCTGCCCTGTGTATAGGCTTTCTACTCCCTCTGTCCCTATTCTGCTGTGCTCCCTGAGTCTGCACAGGAAATGGCTCTTTTTATGCCAAAGTCCATGCCTTCTCACCTGTCTTGGATCACAGTGACTTATACCTTCATTCAAGAAATAACCACTGAGTACCTGCTCCGTGCTTGGCTTGTGAGGAGGCAAAGAGGAACACTATATTCACCTTGCCTGGAGTGGTGCAAAAATGGTTTGTACTGATGACTAACCTTCAAGGTTGGCAGTTTGATCCCACCTATTGGTACCTCAGAAGAAAGGACTGGTGATCTGCTTCCATAAATATTACAGCCAAGAAAACCCTGTTGTGTTATGCCCAGAATTCAGGGTCCCCAAAGACCACCCAGGAGCCGTGTACCGATGCAAATACATAAGGGTTGTTTAATCAAGCTCGAGCCAGGTCTCTAACCTTATCCGACATTTCGAAATAGGGAAAGAGCCCGAATGCATTGTCTGCAGGGTTTTTATAGAATTTTCAAACAGCTCAGGTTTCTCAGCTTTACAATCTTTGGATTGGTTAACAATTGGCAAACTATGAGATGTTACAGTTTAATTGGTCAGGACTGGTGGTCTTTGTTCTTAGGCTAGGGTAAAGGAAAACATCTGGCCTCTGGCCTTGAGCTGCCTGGCTCTTTATGCATATATCATATTCTTGGAGCTAGAGTACGTGTTCAGGCTAATGTACAGAATGGAGATTGACCTTGCCTCTGGAGGGAACTAATAACTGAGGCCTTGTCTATTTAAAATGCTTTCCTGAGCCTGACTAGAGTTTAGTCAAGCAGTTTCTAGGTAGGCAAAATCAGTTTTGTCCTAACATTGAGCCTCTGTAACACATAGGCTCAGCCTGAGTCATAGTCCACAAGTCAGCAAGAGATTTGCCTTTGTTTTTCCCTTTACACCAGTGTTTGAGTTTGGCGAGGATATGATACGAAGGCTGGAATCTTGGAATCCACCTTACAAAGCCCAAGTTCCTTTCTGGCTATTTCCTTAAGGCCTGGAAGGAAGAATGGACTTCAGGCTCCCCATGCTCCCAAGAACCACTCCCGTCTCCCCTGACTCGCCGTGGTCGCAGTGTGGTCCTCCGAGGGTAGGGGGCGCTATGTGGCAACGGGAGAGGGGCCTGGCCTACCTCCTCCTCCCCGCTCCCTGGCCACCGCTAGTGGACGCACAGGTGAAGCTGGAAGTGGTGGCCGGAGGCCGAAACCGCGGCAGGGGCGGGGCACTGCGGGGCCGACTGGTCAGGTCCGGCGCCGCGCCGGTCGTGGCCAGTGCCCCGGCTCAAGCGCCATGCTCGGCAGGTCCGGGTACCGGGCGTTGCCCTTGGGGGACTTTGACCGCTTCCAGCAGTCGAGCTTCGGCTTCCTGGGGTCGCAGAAGGGCTGCTTGTCCCCGGAACGGGGCAACGTGGGGCCCGGGGTCGGTGAGTGGTCTTCCAACACAGCGGGTCCGTGGGGGAACCAACCGGCACCCCTACGCCCCCAACTCCCTACCCTCTCAGGATCCAGGTGGCCTGGCGCCCGCACACCCTAAGAGGAGGTACCGAGAGGGCTGGACCGTGAGCTGAGCTGCTGGCCATTGATCATTCTCCTTGGGACCATGGGGTTGCGACTCTTCTTCTAGAGCTTTGGCCCTTACCAGCCCTCTAGGCCAGAGAAGAGATTTCAAGACACTGATTTGCATAGAAAGAAACCAAGGTCTAGACAGAAGAGGTCACAGCGTTGTTAGCACACTTGGCTGCCGAGAAATGGCTTAGTTTTCACCCCAATTTCCTGGTGAAGATGCGCAGGCCAGGTAGTTTGTGCAGATTCTCTTGTTCCAAAGCCTTCCATGGCTCTCCTGACCCACAGGCCAGCTCCCGTATTCCTCAGCATGACAACCAAACCGTGGTCCTCCCAGACTGACAACAGCCCTTATCTAGCATTCCTAGAAGGATAAAGCAGAAGCTCCTTTCAGTTGCCTGTCCAGAATTAGGAGGGGTGGGAAAGCAGGAGAATAATCTTATTCCAGAGTCAGGACCTGTCTCTGCTCCTGGTTTTCCTGTAGGGTTCAGGACCTCTGACTCAGATGAGCCTCATTTTCCTGGTTCCCCACCTTCTACTTGAGCTATTTGAAATGAATCATGCATTTACTAATCCTTAGGCCACTTGCCTTCCATGTAAGAGTCCTGGGTTCTATTCCTGTCCAGTGAAGCACATGCGCAGCCATGATTCATCTGTCTGGAGGTTTGCATGTTGCTGTGAAACTGAACAGGTTTCAGCAGTGCCGTGTTTGGTTCTGTTGTACCTGGGGCTGCCCAGCAGCTAATAATGAGGGCATTAGGAAGAAACAAAGAACCTCTTAGCACCTATTCATCTTTCAGTAATGTGTTAAGCGAAGGCATTAGTTTAAGATGAGAAGTGTTATTCAAGTGAAACCAGCTCTGTGCCAGGTTTGACTAGGCAACGGATCAGACAAGGGGATGTGTCCCTGCTCAATCCAACAAGAGGAGCATTGAATTAGATACTCAGAGTCAATGGCTAGTACCTAGAACATAGAGCTTGTGGGAGAAGGACTCAGAACTGGCTAGTTTTAGTGTGAGGAAGGTAAACAGTCCCTAACTAGCACTTGCCCAAAGATGGAGGGTATTAGGCAAGGATGTTAATTGAGAACCCCATGAAGGAAGGAAGGGGCCTTTGAAGGGGAAGTGGGTAAACAGTCTACTTGAACAACTTTTTACTGTTCTACCAGACCCAGTTGGCATTCCGTGACTACCTCTGCTTTCTCCCCAGATGTGCCCCAGAGCTGGTCATCCTGCCTCTGCCATTGTCTTATCAGTTTCTTGGGATTCTTGTTGCTGCTGCTTACCTTCCCTATTTCTGGATGGTTTGCCCTGAAGGTAAAGCTGGTTTGCCAAGGACGAATCACCTATCCTCTGCCCACTTCCCCTAAACAATGTATTATCCCACCTCTGGGAAATGGGCTGGGCAAGGATTAGTTTCCCAGGATTAGTCTTCTAGATGAGAAAGCAGAGCCTCAGATTTATCCAAAGTCATCCTAAACCTGCAAGTCCTGAAACAAGGACACTGGCTTGAAAGTACATAACAAATAATCTTTGTCAAATGTTCTGCCTTTTGGGTCAGGCTAGATTAGAAACAGAACCAACTTGGTGGTATAGATAGGAAAAGGATGAACAATAGAGTGCTCAAACATACGAATGACTTCAAAGGTGGCATAGGCCCGAGCACCATTGGATTCTGCTATACAGATGGGACCCAAGTCAGATATGACTAAATAACTGACAACACATCAAAGTTCATCCTGGAAACTTGCAGGGAAGCTGAAAGCCCCAGTGGCAGGCCTGTCCTTTGTGTGGTTCTAGGCAACAGTCATCTTTATGAGAAAGCTTCTGGTTTGGTATGGCCTGAAAGGGAGTCCTTAGACGGTTCTAGACCTTAGTTCTAAAACCGCACTGAAAGAAATGCTGGGTGATCCTAGGAAACTCACTTTGCATCTTTAAACCACCAGTTCTCAATTTGGACACATCTGCCTTTTTTGTTGTTGAAGTTTCTAGGGACCAGAAGTCGGGGATGGTGTTAGAATATTTTAGCCTCTCCCTGTAAGGAAGCCAAGGGCAGACACTTTCCTGATGGGGATCATGTATAGTTTTGAAGCACAGCCTGGAAAGTTGCCCCGAGAATCAGTTGAGTGTAGTAGCTGAGAGTCTGGCCTTTGGAGTCATATAGAGAACTGAGTTCAAATCTTGCCGGTTTTACCAGTGACTCTATGATTTTTTTGAGCAAGTCACTTAAACTGTCTCATCTGAAAACAGGTAAGGATACCTAACTGACCAAGGCGAGGAAGAGAGGTACCTGGGCAGAAGTCACTGGCCAGTCCAGATTTACCACTTTCAACCCTTTCCCTTACCACCAGATTGTGCCTACCTATGAGCGGATGATCGTGTTCCGGCTGGGCCGGATCCGCACCCCGCAGGGACCTGGCATGGTTCTGCTCCTGCCCTTCATTGACTCCTTCCAGAGGGTGGATCTGAGGACAAGAGCCTTCAATGTCCCTCCCTGCAAGGTGAGGAGCCTCTCAGCTCCTCTGGACAGCATGGGGGCTTGCATAGTATACTATGAGCACCAGCTCTGGGCCTGTGAGTGTGTGTTGGTGGTAGGAGGAGGGGGTACAGAAAGACCAGAAAATTGGGAATGGAGACCGGGAGGGCACCTTGCCTCCACACACCTAACCCCATGCACTCGATGATGCCGTTTTGCCTTTGAGGAGCTAGTGGTCAGGTGGGTGGGTCAGGCAAGGTGGTCCCAGGGGCCTGACCACCCTACAGTGCCAGCCCCTTGGGCCAGCCCTTTCACAGCCTCCTCCAACAGCTGGCCTCTAAGGACGGGGCTGTGCTGTCCGTGGGGGCCGATGTCCAGTTCCGCATCTGGGACCCAGTACTGTCAGTGATGACCGTGAAGGACCTGAACACAGCCACGCGCATGACAGCACAGAATGCCATGACCAAGGCCCTGCTGAAGAGGCCCCTGCGGGAGATCCAGCTGGAGAAACTCAAGATCAGTGACCAGCTCCTGGTAGGCAGCCCAGTGCCCTCTCCTCCCCGGTTCACTTTGTACAAAGCACCAGCTTGTTCTGGGCGTCAGTTTACCATATGTCCTGGTGTGGTGCTGTAGGACTAGGAACCACAAGGTCAGTGGTTCAAACCCACCAGTCTCTTCTTGGAAACCCTACGCAGGGTTGCTATGAACAATAACAATGACCTCTGAATTGCTGGTGAGACAATGGGTGGGACTGTAAACTGAGGAGTGGCAGGTGGGCACAAGGCATCCTTGGGTACATGTGCTTCTGAAAAGTGAAACGGCCCTGAGAAGGCGGAAATGGCTTGGATGGAAATTTCCCAGCCTACCTCTGACTCTCAGGTTTTAACCTTCACTACTCCTCAGGCCCGTGGTTGCCATGACAACACTGGGCCTCAGGGGCTGCCTGTAGTCCCTGACTCACAGAGCTAGCAGGTGAGTAAAATAGCTGGGCTGGGCACCTAGGAAATCCTCCCTCTACAATACTGTCTCCTGGGCGTGTACATGTGTTTGTTTGTTTGTTCTGAACAGAACAAAGGGGCAGGCTTGGGTTTATTTGGACTATTCCTGTCTCTTCTCCATGTATAAGAGAGTTCCCTACTCTGAAATGGTGCTGTTTAAAGTGTCACTCAGTCGGTTCCAAGGAGCTCTGGTAGCGTAGTGGTTACGAATCGGGCTGCGAACCGGAAAGTCAGCAGTTCGAAACTACCAGCTGCTCCGCGGGAGACAGATGAGGCGATCTGCTCCCATAAAGATTTACAGCCTCGGAAACCCTATTCAGGGTCGCTATGGGTCGAAACTGACTCGACAGCACTTAACAACAACAACAGTCGGTTCCAGCTCATACCGACCCTCTGTGGGGTTTCCAAGGAGCCTCTGGTGAGTTTTGAATTGCCGACCTTGTGGTTCACAGTCTAGAGCTGATCCTACAGTACCACACCAGGAGGGAGCCCCTTTCTGTGGTGTGTCCCTGGTGCACCCTTCCAGGTCTGACTGGGTAATGTGAATGAAGTCTCTCTCCCCCATTCCACTCGGCTCTGCTCTCCCCATGGAGTTAGGCTTTGAGGACGGGGGTGGGAGAAGTGGGGTAGATGCTGTTCCTGTAGGGACCAATCCCCTCAGGAGGTTAATTGGCAATCAACCAATCAAATCAAATTCCCCAGGAAATGTCCGTGAGAGTAACAATACCTCTCTCCTGCACACCGCATCATTTGATAGTTTACAGAAAGCCCTGTTGGTGGCCCCAGTGTATCTCAGCTTCACATGTTTGCTGCAACAAGAAGGCAGGTATCAGTGCTTTATTTTGCAGGGAGGAAACGGAGGCTCAAAGAAATGATTTGACTTGCCACTAAGAGCCTGTGGCACTGTAGCATCAGTACTGGACTGTGAACTACAGTGGTTCAAACCCAGCTGCTGCTCTTCAGAAACCCTATACACGGTCGCTATGAGTAAGGATTTACACCCTCGGAAACCCTGTACAGGGTCGCTATGGGTCGGCAACAGTAAGAGCCATGGTCAAGAGTACAGCTGAACCAGAGTCAGACCACCCAATCCCCACCCCAATGCAGTGCTCAGTCTGACATAGCTCACAAAACAAGTTGACAACAATATTTATTGGCAAAACTCTCCATTTTAATTCACCTTTACCCATTGCCACTGAGTGGGTTCTGACTCATGGAAACACTGTAGGACAGAACTGCCCCCGGAGGGTTTCTGAAGCTGTAAAAAAGATTTTATGGAGCTGCAGCCAAGTGCTTTAACCACTGCACAACCAGGGCTTTTAATTCATCATTACCAAAAATATAAACCCAAACCCACTGCCCTCAAGTTGAATCCAACTTACAGCGACCCTTTCTAGGGTTTCTGAGATTGTAAATCGTCACAGGATCAGACAGCCTCATCTTTCTCCTGAGGAGTGGCTGGGGGCTTTGAACCTGAGACCTTTAGGAAGAGAAAATCAATCTCAGCTTGTTTTATATACTTTGGTGTGGGAGAAGCAGTTGAGGGGGAAGTCAGTCCCTCACCATTGTGCTAGAGTCAGCAAGGGCCCATTGCCAGACTGAGTTGTCTGCTGGTAGAGTGGAGTTGGAACTGGGTCTCAGCTCAAGTCCTGCACACACGAAGCCCTCTTTTTCATCTGAAAGAATTGCAAACTCCTCATCTCTCACCAGCTTGGCTGCTCCTCTCCTTCACTGCCTGCCTGCACGCCCTTCCCTGCCACCCTCACTCTGCAGTCAGCCTTGCCTCCCAATCCTCAGGAGAGAAAGCTCTAAGACAGGAAATCTTACCGCTTCCTCCCAGCTTCCTCCTTTTCCAGTGTTTCTGCTTCTGCCTCTTTGGAAGCATTCCATTTCTTGTGTCTGTGGCTCGGCTCGTGGCTGCACCAGGCAATGCTCTGGACTCCACCTTTCCTTTCTATTTTCGCTCTCTCTTTCCTTCTCTTTTCTGCATTGAAGTAGGCTCTCCTTTTGCCCACTCTCCTCCAGCTCTCACTCCCTCTCCCCTTTCCCTCAGCAGGCTTCCAGCCCTCTGCTCCCATCTCCCTCTACCCCCTGAGAGACTTCTGGCCAACATCATGGCCACTTCCCTCTTGCCGGCCCAGCAGAAACCTCTCAGTCTTTTGTTTATTTCACCTCGTGGTGGCAGTTTGACTCCGTGGACCCTGCCTTCTCTCTCAGATCCCTTGACATCCATTATCCTACATTATCCCTGCTTTCCTTCCTTACACCCTTGGTCACTCCTGGTTGCACCGTTTGTGTTCTGCCCATCAACCCCAGGTTTCTACCCTTGTCCTCCTCTCCTCTCTGGCCTCCCTGAGAGGACTCTACATGCCACTGGACACTCATTATTCACCACACTCTGCCCAGCTTCAACCACTTGTGCAAGTACCGGCTGGACAGTTGATTGTAGCATAGATACCTCAAACTTTATGTATTCTAAAAGTTTATATCTTTCCTTTTCTAAAACCAAAAAATTCAAACCTTTTGCTATTGAGTTGATGCCAACTCCCATGGTTCCTTCTTCCTCTGAGCGTTCTCTCTAGGGGAATGCCAATGGTCATGAACTACCTCAAAACTAATGTTCTGTAGCTCCGCCTTCCCATTCCCCTTCCCACATCCAATCAGCCAACAAACTGCATGGTTCCACGTCTAGTGTAGCTAGTGCTTCTGCCCTGGCAGTAAGTAATCGGCAGAATTTGGTCCCACCCTCAGTGCATCTCAGCTTCACAGCTATTCCTGCCGCATACAGAGCCATAGTGACTGGCTTCCCTGCCTCCAAAGTCAGCCCCTCCAGATCCAGCGTGCACACAGAAACCAGGATCGCTCCAAAAAGCCACTCTGCCTTGTAGCCTCCCTCCTCAAACTCCTCTCTGAGGTTCCTTGTTGGTGGAGAAGAACTCCAAGTCAGCTGGCAGAGCCCTGCCTCTCGCCCTCAGCTCTCTCTACCCTAGCCCACCCCTGAGGGTCCAGAAGGTGTAGTGAGTGCCCCCCATTTCTCCCCACGCCCCTCTCCAGCTGGAGATCAATGACGTGACCAGGGCATGGGGGTTGGAAGTGGACCGCGTGGAGCTAGCAGTAGAAGCAGTGCTTCAGCCACCCCCGGACAGCCCTGCCACGGGCACCAACCTAGACAGCGCCCTCCAGCAGCTGGCCCTCCACTTCCTGGGAGGAGGCATGTCCTCAATGGCAGGAGGTGCCCCGCCCCCAGGGCCAGGTGAGGAGCTCTGAGCAGGGGGAGAGGGAGAGGAGAAGAGGCTGGGCTGAGAGTGGGAAAGGAAACTGTGTAATGTTTCATTGGGGGCTGGTGGTGGACAGGGCTTCTCTAGCCCAGACAGCACCTTTGTTGGAGACAGAAAAAGGCATCAACTCCGGGCACATGGACCCTCACCCCAGAGCTCTCAGCTCGGCAAGGAGAGCACAGCACACACTGCATCTAGACATCTGCTCTCTTAGCCAGGCATGTTTGAGCAGTGCCCATCCTGCCCAGCTGTTCAAGCTGCCCTAGCAAAGGCAGTGAGAAGAGCCCAGGTTTCTGGGAGTGTGTGGAGGCTCAAGGGAGCCTCCAGGGCCTTGAAAGTCATTGGAAAGAGAGTTTTATACTCAAAGCCTGAGTCACTTGAACTGGGGTGGGGGTGAAAGCTGGACCCTCAGGAGAGGCTTCTTAGCAGGGGAGGAAGCTGAACAGAGGCCTGCAGGGGATGGACGGGAACAGCCTCACAAAGCAGAGGTCACACTCATCATGACATAGCTCCCACATTCTCTCTGCCTCCCTTCCCCAGCAGACACCTTGGAGCTGGTGAGTGAAGTTGAGCCCCCGGCCCACCACATGAGTGCTGGGCCCAGCCCGAAGCAGCCTGTGGCCGAGGGGCTGCTGACTGCTCTGCAGCCCTTCCTTTCCGAAGCCCTGGTCAGCCAGGTCGGAGCCTGCTACCAGTTCAACGTGGTCCTGCCCAGTGGCGCCCAAAGCATATACTTCCTGGATCTCACCACAGGTGAGATGACCTCCCTGCCACTTCTAGGCCATCTCCTACTCCTGCCAACAGTTGGGGAAAAATCACGGCAGCCAGGGGAGCTCAGACACTTGTCACCCAGGCTCAGCCCTCGACTGTCAGCTGGTCAGTGCAAAGCCGACTGTGGCCAGGAACTGTGAGAAGCTCTTGTGTGCACATTCTCTCACTTACTGCTCATCATGATCCTGTGATTTAGGGCTTGTCATCATCCCCATTCCCCAGATCAGGAAACTGAGGCTCTAAGCAGCCACACCGTCAACAGGACTAGAATCCAGGATATGAGAGCCTGAACTCTTCACCATGACTCTCTACTTCTCTTCATGGGATGTGCAAACCCCACGGTTCAGCAGTTCTGAAACAGAGGAAGGGTGGGCTTTTCATAAGATTCATTTTACCAAGGAGGTCAGCAGGGGAATTCTGCAGCACACCACCCCCATACAACACCCTAATGCTCTGTTTTCTTTCCTCCACAGGGCAAGGGAGGGTGGGACATGGGGTGCCTGAGGGCATCCCCGACGTGGTGGTGGAGATGACTGAGGCAGATCTGCGGGCTCTGCTGTGCAGGGAGCTGCGGCCCCTGGGAGCCTACATGAGTGGGCGGCTGAAGGTGAAGGGTGACCTGGCCATAGCCATGAAGCTGGAGGCTGTCCTCAGAGCCCTCAAGTAGCAGCCTTGGTTGGTCACCCAGAGCCCGGCCTTGAGGGCATTGTCAACACACCTGGGAGAGCTGAGGCTCTCAGCATTTCAGGCCCAGCCATGAGCCAATGTTTGGAGGCTGGGAGACAACGGAAGCCTGGAGGGGCTGAGTCAGGCGGTCCCGTGCTTCTCTTCTGCAACAGCCATTTTCTGGACAAGGCTTTGCCCGTCCCCTGAGCTGGGTACACAGTGCAGATGCCTGAAGGAGCGCTGGGCCAGCCCTGCTTTGCTGGCTCCCTGGCTGGGAGGCAGGGCCACAGAAACGGCTTGTGTAGGCCTGAGTGAGGGGGTGAGGGGCCAGAGTGTGTGGCTCAGGTTCTGCATCCTGGGGGAGCCCTGAAGGAGGGCACAGAGAGGGTGGGGGGAGGGAGAAGGCTGACAGCAACCAAGAAGACCTTACTGCAGTGGACCCACTCTCAGGGTGCAGACTAGGCCCAGGCTAGTGGGGGTGGGGGCAGGAAAGAGTAGGGCCTGCTACTCCTAGCCCCACTCCTGAAGACTTGGACTTGACTATCTACCAGTACCGACTTTGCATGCAAGGCAGCTGGGACCCAGGGCAGCATGAAGGGGAGCCCTGCTGGTCCTATACCTCTCGCCCGAGGACTAAAACCCTCAAAAAGAAATAAATGTGTTTACAATCAATAAGAGGAGGAACGGGGACTGGGTGGACTGGGAGTAGGTTACAAAGGTCCATGAAGCAATGCCTCTACTGCCTTGCCAGGGGGCACCAAATCATCCCTGCTGTGTACCCCCCACTTGATGATTATCTCAAAGGGACCACTGTTGTACCTCTTTGTAGTGGAGTTAAAGGTGGGTTAGAATTGGGCCCCCAATTAATGAGCAGCGTCATCACGCTGGACTGTGATTATCCTCCTCTGTCCCACCCAGGGCACTGCCTATTTCTGCATGGGTTGAAGGGCCTCATACAAACAACAAGGCCCGGCCCCAAGAGCTCAGTCAGTTTCTCGTCGGGTAGCCCAGCCCCAATCCCCTGGGGTCCCAGAGATGAGCCTCTCTGACTTCTCTAGTTAAATAAATGATGCTTACTTCCTGGAGTGTTGTGGAAAAACACAGACAAAAATCAGTGCTAAGTGAGAGTCCCCTTTGCTTCCCCTTTCTCAGGGTCAGCTGCCACTGTTTCTACCAGTGCCTCTTTCCTCCTGAGACCTCCCCGGGGCCCAGAATGGACTTCCTAGCCATGGGGATTCAGGTTTCATCTCTAGGGCGCCCCCCACAAGCTGCCTTCTCCATTGCTAACCGCAGCTTGAGGGTCTATATCTGGGGCTACCCATGCCCTCCACCCCCTTTAGCTGTGATGAAGTGGGATCTCCAATTCCCACCAGCCACATTCCCAGTCCCCTGGAGGCCCAGTGAGCCCTGGAAGTGATACTTGTTCCAGTGTTTGTGCCTGCCTTCCCTGAGGACCATGAACTGTATGATGAGGAAGTGAGCTAGTGATTCCTCGGGTACCTGCTCTATTGCACAGCCCACTCAGTGTTAATGGTAACACATCCTTGCTTGAAGGCGTGCCAATGCTGAAAGAACGCTGGTCCTGGGGTGGGGTTGACGGGCATGGTGAGATCACAATTTAGGGGAAAGTGAAACTGAATGTGGGCAGAGCAGCATAACACTTAGGGGAAACATTCTTTTGGACATCTTTGTGGGTGGAGAACAGAACCTACCAGCCCAGTATTCACGCAGAGCAAGGGGCAAGCTTGAGGGGAGTGGGTAGAGGAGTTCATTTCTTGGCCAGGTCAACGCTGCAGGGAGGGGAGCCCACAGGATCAGGGGCCCCAGGCTCTGAAGGACTAAGACCTTGTAGACTACAAAGGGTGAGGGCTGTTGTGGAGGATGGAGAGGAAATATGGGGTGGGGGTGTCAATCACAGAAGTCTTCCTGGAAGAGGTGATGCTTGAGACTTGCAGCTAAATGGGGCCACAAGAGAAGAGAAGGGGAAAGATAGAGGGGAAGTCCCTGTATGAACATAAAAGGCACGTGGGCACTTTGAATTTGGGGAATTGAAACCTGAAGGAGGGGAATAAAAATAGTGGCCATTATTGTGTGCCAAGTATGTCTGACACCACTCAGTGAAGAACTGTTCTTTAGAAATGGTTAGAATTAAGCTATGTGGATATTTTGGGGAGTGTGGTGGTGCTGTAAGGTTAAGCACTGGATTTTGAATCACATGGTGAGATGTTCTGAGGGAGAAAGATGATGAGAATGCTTGCTCCCACAAAGATTTGCAGCCTTGGAAACCCTATGAAGGTTCGCTATGAGTTGCAAGTGACTCAAGGGCACTTAACAATATTGATGTATTAACAGATAACCTACTATATTTTGGTGTCCTGGTGTGGTGCCGTGGGTTAATGCATCAGACTGCAAAGTTATTTGAACTGGAAGGTCGGTGGTTCAAGTTCACCAGCTGCTCCTTGGAAACCCTATACAGGGTGGCTATGGGTCTGAATTGACTTAATGGCACTTAACAACAACTATATTTTGGGGGACTCCTGGTGTGGTGCTGTGGGTTAATGCTCTGCCCTGCAAAGATAGCTTGAACTGCAAGGTTGGTGGTTCAAGCTTACTAGCCACTCCTTGGAAACCCTACACAGGGTCACTGTGGGTTGGAATCGACTCGATGGCACTTGACAACAAAACTATTTTGGTGCTATTTTAAAATGCTTACTTTTTTTTTACTTACTTAATTTTTGAATAGCTAATACACTCAACATGGTGGGAGAGATGAGGCAGTTTGCTTCTGTAAAGATTGCTAGCCTTGGAAACGCTGTGTAGCTGTCTCACTCTGTCCTATAGAGTCGCCTCTGTCCTACTCCCTGCCCTGCACTGAGTGTACGTGACTGGCAGAGCAGGACCCTAGGAAGAGCCCCCTGGTGGCCCAGACATGCAAGAGTGCAGGTACAAACATCTGTTGTCTCAGAGAGAGTAAACACCTGAAGTCCTCAGGAAGCCCCAGGTTTGTTGTCAATATCCCATGCTTCTGTGGGCGTCCAAGTGACCCTGTGTGAGCAGAGTGGAATGGCTCCAGAGGAAGCCCAACGCCAGACCTGTTCCAAGGAGCCTTTGGCTGAGTCTGAACACAACCTCAGTGTTAGTTGTTGAGCACCACCCACTCAGGATTGCATTGTACAGATAGATCATGATTATACTTGATTGAATTTGTCCTGTACTGATTGATATTTATATTGTTCCTTGAGTTTTGTTATTTCAAGCAATGTTGTGATAAACAGTCTCAGAGATCTATTCTTTCACCTGTGTTTGAGTTTATCTGTAGGATAAAATCATAGAAGTGGAATTGCTGGGTCAAAACATTGGTTATTGTGTAAATAGTACCCTCTTAATAGATGATACCACTTACATCCCACTGACAGTAACTGAAAATGTGTGTTTCCCATAGACATACATGCCAACACCTTGTGTTATTAAACTCGAAGTTTTTACTAAGCTAGTAAGTGAAAAGTTGCATATATATGTATACATATATATTGTTGGTGGTTATGTGCCATGGAGTCGGTTCTGACTCATAGTGTCCCTGTATAGAGTTTCTGAGGCTGTAAATCTTTATGGGAGCAGAAAACCTCATCTTTCTCCCATGGAACCACTGGTAGTTTTTAACTGCTGATCTTGAGATTAGCAGCTTGACTCATAACCACTCCATACACACACACACATACATAAGGAGCTCTGGTAGTGCAGTGTTTACAAATCGGGCTGAGATTTACAGCCTCAGAAACCCTGTACAGGGTCGCTATGAGTCAGAACCAACTCCACGGCACACAGCAGCATCATCATCAACTGGAATGCCTCTTGAAACCATGACCTAAACCTCCAAACCAAGGAATGAGGTGTTTTGATTATAATTAAGCAACTCAGTAGCTACGCTTTTTGTTTATTTGTTATTGCTGTAAATACAAGGGTAAGTCAAAAAGTATTGTTTCAGCTCATATATTTATTCCAAACAAAACATCTTTAAACAATGGATGGCTGCAGACAAATTCTCTCAGTAATAGACTTGTCTTACTCCCATTAGAGTATGTAAGAGTTAAGGTTTTGTGTCAACATGTCTGGACCAGGTTTCTCAATGGTTTACCAGTGAAGATGTAGTCAACCCCCATCGTGAGATCTAATAGAACGTAATCACATCCATGATGAGCTCTGCCCTGAGTAACCAATCAATTGGAAGGACATTTCTTTAGGGGTGTGGCCTGCAACACCTTTTATAAAACAACTGGAGAGGAAAGTGAGCAGAGAAGGGGCACTTATTACCAACAAGAAAGAGCCGAGAGTGGTGTGGGTATTTTAGACCCTGGATCCCTGTACTGTGAAACTCCTAGATCCAGGGGAAGGTTGATACCAGGACACATGGAAATCTCCAAGGAATGCTGAGCCTACAGATGATGAAAGGAGCTGATGGTCTGAATTCAGTCTTCTAGCCTCCAAAACTAAGCTAAAAAGGAGCTCTGTCTGGTAGTGTAATCATTACAAATAGGGCTGCTAACCTCAAGGTCAGCAGTTCAAATACCAGCCATTCCGCGGGAGAAAGATGAGGCTTTCTGCTCCTGTAAAGATTAACAGCCTCGGAAACCCTATGCGGGGGGGTTGCTGTGAGTCAGAACCGACTCCCCAGCATACCACCAGCAGCAATGACCTTCTAAATGGAGAAGAAATTTCTATTTGTTAAGCCATTCACTTGTGGTATTCTGTTACAGCAGTTTGAGAGAATAAAGATAAGGGTGCCTTAGAAAAAAAGTTATAAAGGGAGCAAAGCTACTATAACCAAACACCTTTAGGAAATGAGTCTCTGGGCCTGGGGACTTATTGGACACCAAGCTCAAATGAGAAAAAAATAAAAAGTCCAATCAAAACAGTGGCTTCCAGGGGGATCAGCTGGGATGATTAAATTCAAGGCAGAGAGGTCAGCTCTGGAGTTATGGTGACGAATTTTCTTTAATTCTTTAGGGGCCATCTTGATAGATTTTCTC